TGGAGTCCAGCTTTTAGGCAGGTGGAGTATACCTGGTCGTATATCTGTTTACAACACCCCAACAGATCTGTGTTGCTGCTCCTTCTTTTCGGTGAGCCGTCCTCTATCGTGGCAACCAACACCGGCAAAACCCCATAGCAAACGTCCACCGCTCCACGTCATAACAGGCATGGATGTCTTCGTTCCAGCCTGTAAAGGAGAAAAGGCTGGGCAGCACCAGGGGACGGATGTCTCTCTTTCCAGCCTGTAAAGGAGGAAAAGCTGGACAAGTGGGCTTACTATTCACACGTGGGTCCTTGAATACCACAAAGATAAGTATTCTTACACCATCATTTCAACTATTTCATATTTATGATTATTTTTTACCATATAATCAATGTGGTAATTCCTATCATTTACTCCATTATTATTACCGTTACCTTGTCCACCACATGTGATCAGACTTCACTTGGACGATGGTATTACACTTTATGTTCAACACTTTAAGCCCTGATGTGGAACAAGCGCAAAACTTAATCTCACACTCCACACAGGCCAGCGACCTGCCTCAGGGCATGGCTCAGATCCAACTCATTTAGTCATTCCTTAGCGAGGCCGGGTAAAACCTCCCCACGAGGTGTTGAAGATCGTCCGCGACGATATTATCGCGAGGCTGAGGTAAGCCGTCCATCTCGACGCACTCCTATATATTCGTCTTCCACGACGCGATCTCATTTCCTCTTCCACGAGGCTGGGGTAAGACGTCCCCCGCGACGCACTCCCATCCATCTCCCACGAAGCGATTTTATTTCCTCTTCTACGAGGCCGAGGTAAGCCCTCCCCGCGAGGCACTCCAAATCGTCCGCGACGATATTATTCGCGAGGCCGAGGTAAGTCGTCCATCTTGACGCACTCCTATATATCCGTCTTCCACGACGTGAACTATTTGCTCTCAGATCTAAGGCGAGGGGTGCATCCTTTGTGCCTATCTCACTTACCCGAGCAGCTCTCATTTGAAGACCCCGGTCTCACTAAGGATGACGTCAAGGTTTGTTCTAGACCAGACTACTACACGATCGGCGCACTTCGCTGATAAAGCCTATCTTTTGTCCAAAACTTTGGAATTGACTCGTACATTGACTTACTTTTATCGGCCGCGTGGTGATCGGTCCATCCAATCCCGCGAGCGCCTTGTGTTCTTTTTTGAACTTATTTTGCAGGTTTGAATGATGAGAAGGCAAGGGCTCATACACTCGAGCTCGGCCTCATCCACTCGAGCTCGGCCTCATCCACTCGAGCTCGCCCTCATCCACTCGAGCTCGGCCTCATCAACTCGAGCTCGGCCTCATCCACTCGAGCTCGGCCTCGTCAACTCGAGCTCGGCCTCGTCAACTCGAGTTCGGCCTCATCCACTCGAGCTCGGCCTCATCCACTTGAGCTCAGCCTCATCCACTCGAGCTCGGCCTCGTCAACTCGAGCTCGGCCTCATCCACTCGAGCTCGGCCTCATCCACGTCAACTCGGCCTCATCAACGCGAGCTCGGCCTCATCAACTCGAGCTCGGCCACATCAACTCAAGCTCGGCCTCGGCCATCTCGTGAAGGGGCCAAAGACTCCCAACGGAGCCGAGCATGGACACTACTCCCCTTTGCCTCGGAATTCTTCTTCGGCTTAGGGAGTGGGGGACTCCGGGTGCTCGGCTCGTGATTGTTACATCTCACATCTGGAGAGGTTGGCGACCGACATCCTGACCTTGTATCAGACCGCAGTAGTCCGTTTTGGCATGCACTCGTCGGCAATCCGTTATGTTGAACAACCCTCGACTCCGGACATCGAGTCCGGGGGACTTGAAGATCACCTCTTTTGAGATTCACACAGAAGACCTCACACCCTAGCAATGTTTTCTTGATCCACTCTCTGGGATGAGATGTACTCTTTTCTTGACCGAGGATTTTTTCCCATCCTCATGGGTTTTTTCCTCGGCAAGTTTTTAATGAGACATCCCCCGTGGACTGGGTCACACATTGACAAGATTGTGGGAGATGATGATCTATTCATCCACTCTTACGGTGATTGCTGTGCTCTGAACTGCGAACTGACGATGTACTTTGTACGAGAGCAAATCATTTCAAGACGATGAGCAGAGTATGTGTTTCTTCTTGCCATTCTGAACAGCGAGTTGGCATTACGTTTCTGACATGTGGCGCTATTTGCCTTACTTCACCGTGCTCTGGACATCAAGTTGGCAATGCCAGCAAGGAAGACGATGTCCTTCCGTGGCGGATTGTTGCTCTACTTCCACTTCACCTCGAGTTCCTCTCGGCTCGGAAAGTGGGGGACTCATGATGGATACCCTGGACAGGGGGTATTCGGTCTTTGTATAATGTTAGTTGGGGCGGTCCAGTCTGTTGGACCAGCCCGTTAGTCGTACGATAATTATTTATTTAAGGGCGGCCCAGTCTGTTGGGCCGGCCCATTAGTCGCATATTTATTATTTAGGGCGGCCCAGTCTGTTGGGCCGACCCATTTTGTTCGGAACCCAAACCCTGGCTCTCCCTATTTATACTCCTCTTCTTGGAAGAGGAGGGGAGAAGGTTGGAAAGAGGGAGGCTCAACATACACTTACACTATTCATCTCCTTCTTCACACTCTTCTCCTTCTTCCCTACCCATGGATTCCATAATCCAACAGGTTTATTTAGAATTTTTTATGTAATTTTTAAATATATAAATTTTGTTTTTGATTCCCTACTCATTTGATAAAATAATATTTTCATATCACCGCTTGTTTTGTAGAATATCTAATTTAATTTTTAATATGTAAATTTTATTTTTTATTTCTACACCAATTTTCAAATAAAATGAACTGAAAATAAGTATAGTCAAACATCATAAACAATAGCAGGTGGTTTAAATTGAGACGGAAGGAATAATATAAATAATTAAATAATAAATAAATATATATAATATATTTACAAAATAAAAAGGTAGGCCCCCTCTACAATTGGACCCTGTCTAAGTGGCCACTTTGCCCTAGCCGGCCCTGATAATTGTTGGTGATTTTAGTGTCATCGATTTATTTTGTATAATTGGATTTACTTAGATCAGACAAGAATTTAAATAGACGTTGTCAACCGAGTTAGAAGGCGCGGAGTGTGCGCTCGTTCAACGAATTACAAATTCACTGCGGGGGTCCGGGGGCGGTAGCCCCTGGGTAGCGGAGTCCAAGGGGCGGCAACCCCTGACAGGGTCCAAGGGGCAGAGCCCAAAATAGTAAAGGACTCGAACTAGTGGATAAACGTCGAAATACACTCAAAACCGCAGGAGACTCTTCGTTCAAACTCGCGCCTTTCTTCTTCCCCGCGCGAACGTATGCGTATGTCTACGCGAAGGTTCATGTCCGATCATGGAAATTTTCGACTCTATAAAATAAAGTCTTGTGGTATGGATTGGGGGACAGATTTTGAGTGCTTGTTCTTAATTAACGTCTTATCCGATTGAAGTATTTCGTATACCCCGAAATAACTTTGATCTGAATGCGCTTCATACGCGATTCGTTATACTATCGAGTTCTTCTTTAACACTGCTTCGCAGTGTTCTTTATTAAACAATTCCAACAATAATTTGTGGTAAAAATGTTGAGATACGAATAACTTAAGGAGCATGCTACATGTACCCTAAAATTTGTACCCTATTTGTACACCAAAGATATGCACCAACATTTTGTTGGTTCACACTGATATAAAGTGTTGGTGCGTTAACAAAAATTTATATTGACACAAAGTGTTGGTGCGTTAACAAAAATTAGCATTACACCAACACAAAATGTTAGTGCATTACTGCGATATACGAAATGAGGTATAAATTCTTGGGGTACAAATAGCTTTATCCATAACTTAATTCAATCTCGGGGTGACTGTTGGCCGTTTTACCATGTACACTTGAGGATTTTTTGTTTTTTATTTTACTACGAATCTTGTTCCAAAAATTTCAATTACTAGATCGGACACAAATTTTGCAATGAACAAATAAATGGACATCCTAAATTAATAGTATCAGGTTAATTGAACAATATTTTTAAAACATGTAAAATATATGACTTATTTTTAGTTTCTGTATTTTGTTTGTTTAAGTTATCCTTATAAAAAATTTTATTTTGAAATTGTTCATAAACATAATTAAATGATTTAATTTGTTGAAATAATACGTTTATTTCGTACTCAACATTCGAGTCTTGCATTTATAATTACCTCCGACACCATTCTTAGGGTGGACGGTATGGGTGCGGTAAATCTTATTTCGCAAATGGCAACTAGGTAAAGAAGGTAACACCATCCCCTCTAATCTGGTACCAGCAAAAATTTGTAAGGATGTCTAAGACTTTACCGAGCTTATTGGAGCATGACTTGTTTTTTTTACATTTCATTTAAAAAATTTAAAACTTAATTCAACACAAATGTTTTACCTTTTCATTTAAAAAAAATACAGTAAATACTTAATTGAACACAAATTTTTTTACCTTTTAATTTAAAAAATATTAAAAACCTAATTTAAAACCACTTTTTTACCTCTACATTTAAAAAAATTAAAACTTAATTTAACACCCCTAGATATCCGACTTTTAGAATCATTATCGTAGTTAATATTTTCCAGTACTCTTATTTTTATGTTTTTTGGATAAAATTTTCTTTTATTTAGTATTGTAGTTTGGTTTAAATCAATGAAATGTTATTGTATTATTATTGTGTTAATTAAAGATTTACACTTTATATTTTTAATATATTTCAAAATTAATTATTAATAAAATTATTTACTAATAACATTAAATTTTCAAAGAAGATTTTAAAATTAATCTTTATTTTTAATTATTTAAAAATAATTGTAGTAAATTGGCGAATTGGCGTATGTACACCGCCACTTGTAGTATGAAAAGTATGGAATTAATAGAATCTGATGTGGCACAGATGTGTATGAGATAAATGATGCAATATAAAAAAGTATTGAGGTATATATACATACACCCTTATATCCTAAAGTGGGGCTTTCAGTGAATTATTACATCCTCAATTCTCAAATTAATTTTATTATATTGTATTTTCTTAAGAAATTTAGGAATTGGACATTTAATATGAATAAGAATACAATTTTGGGTGTTAGAATTGTGTCGGAGATAACTAGCAATGCAAGATTTAGACATTGAGTATGAAATAAATGTGAAATCTCAATTGATTAGAAGTGCTAATTATATTTAATGACTATTTTCAAAACAAAAATTTTTCTACTCATATTATAAACAAAAATTTTCACACAATTTTTACAAGTATTTTCATAGACAAATTTTATCTGTATACTCTAGATATACTTACACTATTTTCAAACTCTATATTAAGCGTGTTAGCAAGTGTAAAAATGACGAAAAAAATGAACCACATTTTTTTTAAAAAAGTAGATAAACTACAAATTCAACTAATCATAAGCTAAATGTAACACAATCACTATACATTGAATATATAAATAGTTATGTAGAGTTTTTGGCACATATCTGAAGTGCATAAACATTACTTACAAAGAGTAGAGTTCCCGTGCATCATATGATCATAGTGTCCATGTAATACGCAACTATGAACATACGAACACGCTACGAGTAAAGTAGTCAATCACTCCCCGTAAAAGAACATGAAATTGATGAAAATTAAAACACAAAAAATGCAAACGAAAAAAAACCAGTTCTCCGAGATGAATCCACAACCAGCAAAAAGCACATAAGAGAGAAAAGACAAGAAAGAAGATCAAGGAATGCACCTTGGAATGTGGAACGAGGTGATTCTAGTATCGTTTTCCGAGAATCACGCCAATGATAATGGAAACCAGAGCAACGCCGAGAATGAATTGGAGAGTGAAGGGGGAGGCGGGCTCAATGGTGGTTTGAACTTGACGAGTATCGATGGATGCTTCGGATTTCTTCTTGCCCTTCCGCTTTGATGGAGATGAGACCATTGATCCAATGTCTCTAGATTTCACCTCCACATCTTCCTTCGTATGAGTAGTAATGCTCCCTCCAACATCCTGCGAGGCATTGAATTCAGTCACCCATTAATTAATATTTGATGTACTGTGAACTTATCCCCTTGCTGGAGTAGTCGGAAGGCCACTCCCCAGGATTCATGGGAAGCTCACCCAGGTTCGAGCCCCAACACAGGCGGAGGCATTGACTCTTTGTGTGTCATTAGTTTGAGAAAAGTATGAACAGATACTACGGAGTACATTGTAATCAAGTCAATAGCACTAAAAAAATATTTGATGCACTGTCATATATCAATGCTCACACGATTCACTGTTTCTAGGTTGTATCTTTTATTCCCTGTGTATCAATGCTCTCTCTGTTTGTAAATGCCCAGAATAATCAATATATAGATCTATCGGCGTGGAGGTTACCCACATGTGTTACCACGTAAATCATTCTCTCTGATTTCTCTCCTAGGATTTCTCTCTTTTCCTGATCTTCTTCATCAAATATGTGTGTGTGTGTGTGCGAGTTGACTTGATCCTAACAAGTAGGGTCCGGAGAGGGTTGACGTACACAGATCTTATCCCTGTCTATAAAGGCTGTTTCAAAAGGCCATTGGCTTGAGAAAACATAAAAACAGGTTCCTAAATTGTAAGAATAACTAAGCGCTCATCAAACTTTAGCTTCGTGCATTACTAGAAGGATGGATCACTACACACAAATATGACTTTAGGACAAAAATGTTTTTGAAATATGTTTTTTAGGAAGTTAGTATTATAATTGCCTTCCGTAAAGGTAAATGAATTGCCAAGAAGAGGAAGCAATAGAAATCGGCCTGAACAATATGCTACTGCATGCGGGTTTTTTTTCGAATAACAAATGCGTAACAAAGTTTACCTTTTCTTTTGAGCGAGCATCAGCTAACTGTAATTTCTGCTCAAGTTCTTTAACTTTCTTTTCAAGAAATGAGACTTCATTAGTCTTAGCTTGCAGCTGCTTTAAAGAAGACTCTAGCTCCATCACCTTCTCAGTATCTAACCTTTTCTGTTTTGATCATAATCCAGATGACAAGGACATCAAAGGGAGGGAAAATGATCTATTACAAAGATACTTCTGAAAATAGAGAATCAAATAATCATGCACAACATTTGTCACTTAAATTAGGCTAGGGGAAAAGGAACAAAAAATTAACTTTAATTAAAAAATTCAAGATAAAAAATAGAGTAAATAGTTAAATTATTATAAAGAAATATGTTTGAATTCTACAATTCTTATGAATATTTTTCTAAGACTAAAACATTCTCAGATTCTAATATTTTCAACGGATAGCATTAGTATTAGTATCTACTGAACAAATGCTCTCGTCTACCATCCCCACCCAAACATTGCCTACGCGTATCTTAGACTGTCTAGGAGCAATTGTGGTACCTGTTCCTTTAGTTGAACTTTTGCAGTTGTTAATTGTTCTTCAAGCTCCTTCATAAGATCCTGAAGCTCAGACTTTTTAGAGATATCAGCAGTAAGCACTTCTAATTGAGATCTCAGAGCATCCTTGCTTGATGCATGCTCATTTAGTTGTTCTTCGAGGTGGGCTATATTACCATGAAGTTCCTTCTTAGAACTTTCATACATTTCGTGAAGCTGTTTGCTTTCCTCCAGAGCAGATGATAGCTGTATAAGATGACAAGTTTCAAGACCATGTTAGGACGGTTGTGGGAGGGAATTTGCCATGAACATTGCCACTATGTTTTTTGCATGAATATAATGCTAATTGATACTTTTAAACAATAAACCGGCACAACATCAGCAACAAGTTCCACACAAGTGGGGGCCGGGTGTATACCTTTACCCAATAAGGCCAGGGGGCTGTTCGCGAAAGATCCCCCCCCCCCCCGACTCACAAGAAAATACAATTAATCAAAATACCATTAATTTAATGCCACCAAACCCATGTAGTTGGTATTAAGATGGATACAGATAATGGTGGTGGTGGTGATGATATTAAAAAAAAATAAGAGAAACATACGCAATGGGTGGTATTATGTAGAAAGAATCAAGTGATCAAAGAGCCAACCTGATGTTGCAGCTTCTGCTTTTCAGAACTGAAATCTTGTGTCAAATTGTCTATCAGTGTCTTCGAAGCTTGAAGCTCATCTATTGCCTTATTTTTCTCAACAAAAGCAGCTTCCAATTTGGTCTCTAAATCAATAACCTTTGCCTCATGTGATGCTACTTTTCCAGTAAGCTCTGAATTTTCCCCGACTAGTCGTACTCTCTCATCTTCAAGATCAAGAGATCTGTGTTTCATTTCTTCCACAGTTCCTTCTTGATCTCTCAGAGTTGTAAGAGTCTGTTCCAGCTGCAATCTGAGAGTTTCAGCAGAGGATGATGCTTCTTGAGACCTTTCGTCATATACTTTGACTTGATCTTGAAGAGAGTTTAGCTTTTCCATTAATTCTTTAGCTTCAAGGTCCTTTTGAGCTAAATTATGGATAGCTTCTTCAAGTTTTCTTTGTGATTCTGAAAGGCTGGCTTCAGATGCCAAGTGCATTTCAGATGTTCTTGCATGCTTATCTGCTAGTTCAGTGATTGTGTTCATGTGAGAAGCAAGCTTTTGTATATTATCATCCCTCTCTGTGCTAGTTGAATTCAACTGTTCTTCAAGATCATTAATTCTTTTCTTCAGTTGTAAGTTCGTCTCAGTCAACATCTCATTTTCGGAGAGAACCTCTGCAGATCTACCCTCTGTTTCTGAAATTTTCTTTTTGAAGTCTTCATTAGAGTTCTCAGACAAAGAAAGTTTTAGGAAAACCTGTTCTAGCTCTTGCTTCAAAGCTTCGAACTTTTCAGTAGATTCAATTATCTTCTCTTCATATGCCTTCACCTGATCTTCAAGAATTTTAATCTTTTCGCACAGTGATTGCACCTCTGAGTCTTTGCCAGTAAATTTAGCATCTGCCTCTTGGAGTTTCAGCTCGGAATCTCTAGAGAGTGTCACATGTAGTGATTCAAGCTCTAAACTTCTCGTTCTAGCTTCCTCTAGCGCTTTCCCATGTTTTTCTAGCTGCTCCTCAGCAGACTTGAGCTTTTCCTTGGTCTCACCTTCTCTCAAACCAGCTGCATTTAGCTCATTTTCAATACTCTCCAGTCGCTGTTGAGTGGCATTTAATTCATTGCGCAGTACTTGAAGCAGATTCTCTGATTCAACAAGTCTTTCCGTTGAGTGTCTGAAGGCATCTTCTACGTTTCTCTTATCTTCTGTGGTCACATTCAGGCATTCACTCAGTTCTTTTTCTTTCTCAGTGGCTAATTGCAGTGCAGCTTCAGTGCTCAATGACTTGTTTTGGAATGCCAAGAGATCTTCTTCAAGGTCAGATACTTTTTGACGGTATTCATTAGATTTTGTTTCTGCATCTTCACATTTTTTTTCTAATGCACTTATTTGTTCTTCAAGCTCTTGGATCCTATACTTCTCTGTTTCAAGCAAAAGCTCCAACTCGCTCACCTTTTTACCTGTTTCCTCTTCTTTGGAATGGGAAATGTGCATCAAATCTTCTAGTTCACAACTGCGCTGGTTCGCCATACTGATGCTACCTTCATAGTCAGAACATTTGTCTAAAGCAACCTTCAACTCTTGTTCAACATGAGCTAACTTTTCCTGAAATTCTTGAATTTGGGCACTCATCTGTACCTTTTCTTCTGTTACCTTTTCAAGTGTTGCATTTAGTTCGGATCTTTTCTCTGAGATCTCCTTCACTTCTCTCTCAGCATCATTCCTTCTTAGCTCGACGAGATTCAAATGCTGCTCAAGCTCCAAATTTCTTTGTTCCAATGCAATAGAGCGCGACTTAAACTCTGACAATTGTGTGTTAGCATCCTCTGCTACAGCATTTGAAGTTCGTAGCAAGTCCTCAAGCTCAAGATTTTTCTGGTTTGCAGTAGTTGCAGCATTCCCTGAATCGTGGTGAAGTTCTTCCACCGTTTTAAGCTTTTGTTCAAGCTCTGCAATGTTTGCCAGAGATTGAGAGAGAAGAGCATCTGATTTGCAGAAGTTCTCATCTGATTTCTGCAACTTGGTCTCAAGGTCACTGCACAGTTGTTTCATCTCTTCAGCATTTTTAGTCAGGTCAGAAACAGCAGAGTCAAGTGATATTTTCTCTTTAGACAATTTCCCCAGTTCATCCACTGTCTTTGCAAACTCTTCTTCTTGACTTTTTAATTTAGCTTCAAGGTTCTCTCTTGCACGAACTTCCTCCTCCATCTTCAACGCAGAGTTTTCTAACTCCAGTATCTTCGTCTGAAGTTCTTCTTTGGCTGCGAAATATTGCTTCTCAAGAGATAGTATGTCTTTCTTCACCTGATCTTCGGAAGTTTTGCTCAGGTCTAAGTCTTTGTTCAATTCGTTTACAATTTGTTCTTTCGAAGCAAGCTTCTCTTCCATGTTGCATACTTCTAATCTCAAAGCCTCTAGCTCGCCTTGAACTCTAGAGAGCTCAGATGAACTAGCCTTGAGTGCCTCCTCAACCTTCTCACTTTCTGCAATCTTCTCATTGAGGACTTTGACATCTGCCTGCAAAGAAGCCATCTGGTCTTCTGTATCTTTTGCACTTGCTTTTGTGAGATCAAGCAACCTCTCAAACTCCAAGGCCCGATTTGTTTCCGACTCAACAAGCAAACCACTTTGCTTGTGCAACTCCTCAAGCTTCTGGACCTCTCCAGTAGTAGCTTGAAGCTCCTGCTCAAGCTCTTCTCTCTTCTTTCTTGAGCTTTCAAACTCAAGGGTAAGTCTGTCAAGTGCTTCCTTGACACTCGCATGTTCCTCAAGCTTCGCTTCTTGTGCACGTACGGCATCCTGCAAAGCACTGAGCTGGGAACTATATCTACCCTCTGAATCTGTAATCTGTTCTTTCAACTTGTTATGATCAACTTCAAGCTCTTCATATTTCTTTATGACCTCCCCCAGTTTCTCTTTAGTGGTAGAGAGTTCCTCATTCAATTGCGCCTTTTGGGAATCAGAATCCTTCAATGATCTTGTGACTCTTTCCAATTCCACCTCAAGATCTCTAACCTTTTCTTGTGACTCCAGAAATTCTCTGCTTTGAGACGAAATTTCCAAGCTTCTTTCGGTGACTCCAGATGGCACGTCATCTTCTGGAGAATCTACGTTGTCCGTATCAGCATTTGCTGCCTCCTTTGGTTCAAAGTTTTCCTTCTCTACTTTTATGAACTCGCCATCAAAAGTAGTGTCTTCTTCTTGCTTCTTTCCTCCGTTGTCGGTCAGGTTAAAACCCACCTCTGTCACCTGCAATGGCAACAGTTTCATGCACTTCATTCATTTCAGGTTTCATACACCAAGGAAATGAGTCTTATACACAAATAGTAGAATTTCCATCAACAGCTTTGAACATTTTTATTTTCAAATTTATTTATTTATTCTTTTGGACTCTTTCTTTCATTTAACACAACAATTCAGATTAATTCAAGAAAGATGCTGCTCTTGACAAGTACAAAAACCCATAAGATCATAATTTTACAGAAAAAAGAAGAGTGCCACAATTGATGATCCATAGCATCAAAACAAAACTCAACTTTGATATTGAAATTAGGAGTATCACCTTAATATGGTCGGCTTCAATGCCTTTTTCCCCAGCAATCTTAGAGATTGGCACGTCGTGGTTTACTTGGGTCTCAGCTTCCATTAGAATATGAATTTAGGTATTTTATTAATAAAAACCCTCTAGCAGTCCGCAGTTGTGCACCTGCCAACAGAAAAATATCTTCACATATTGTCAAAAGCCTTATAAATAAACTAGGTCAAAGAACATACAGTATAAAGTAAGTTTCATTTCACAAGTGTAAACAATGAGATAATTGTTCAAATCAAAGACTTTGGACTCAAATGTTTGGTTGGAATGTTGTTTTATAGCGAATATAGACCAAAAATAAATGCTCACGTCAATTTTGTATAATTTAATTAACACTCCCTCATGTGAATTATTTGCATAGGTCCATTACAAAGAAATTACAACATTTTATTTTTTATAAGTAAATAACATAGCCAAACATGTGAGAATAAATCACTAGTTAACTACAAAGTAGAGAATAATACATTAAACAAAAATTTTATAAATAATCTGCATTACACTAACCACATTGATTATTCAATTATAGAGCCACAGTTAGACTTTAGAGAGCATTGGAGCCAACAGGCAAAAAGGATTGATAGCATGATGATAACCATATCTAGAAAAGGGTCTCTATGATAGAGAGGTGTGGCCAGCTCATTCACATAAAGACGAATATGCTAAAGGCATATAATGACATTAATTAATGACCTTTAATCAGCATAATGTAGCCAAGGTAGCACATAAATTATACTTCTTCCATCCCTGAAACATGTTCCCTAAGGGAGAGATATTTTTGCGTTAACTTTCCAAAAATTCCCCTGATGTGATGGATAAAAGTAAGATGTGTTGGATAGATTATTAGTAAAAGAATATGATATGATAGGTAGGGTATGAAAAAAGTAAGAAGTAAAAGTGAGTTTTTAATAGATAAAGGAAGGAGTATGTGGGACAAAAAAAGAAAAGAGAAAGAGTTAACGGGACGGAGGGAGTAAAAAAATCTCTCTTTTAGGAAATAAAACATGCTCATTAAAACTTCAAGAAAATGATAAAAATCTTGCATATATATTAATTTTATGAAACAACTAGAAGGTCATGTGGTTACACATATCACATATGTTCTTCCCATATGAATAATAAATAAATAAATAAATAAACTTATAAGATTATAGTATAGTAAATATTTGACACTTTGACAGTGTGTGTACACCATGCCCATTATGTGAATTATGATGTCAATGTAGCATAACTCTTAATTTTTTTAAAGCCGGAATGATAAATTATTTTAAACGGAGTAAATCAGCAAGTTAAGAACCTCCACACACTTGACACTTCTGCCACAAATTATACTCTCCGCTTCCATCAAATTATACCTATTCTATGTTTAAAACGTGTTTAAAAGGTTTTTAAAAAGAAAAAATCTTATAATTTGAATTTTGAAGTTCACTACAAACCCCATCCGAAAAGAAGGATCATGTTTGAAAGAAACAATTGTCGTGATTAATTATATGCTGAAATTTGAAACTACTCAGCATTCTTTTATAGTCCATCCGTTCTCAAAAAATTCTAATTTTGACTAAGTGTAAAAATAAAAAAGTGTCAAATTGTGTGATGACTTCTAATTTTATTCTTGATGTGATGGATAAAAGAAATATGTGATGGATTAAATTATTAAAAAAAAAAGTGTAATGTGATCGGTAGGATATGAAAAAATAAAAATAAAGTGATTTTTTAATAAATAGTGAAAGTAGTTAGTTAGAAGTAGAAAAAATGAAAAAGAAATTTTTTTTTTAGAATGGAGAGAGTACTCATTAAAAAAATATACCCCATAGAAATAAATATACGAATCGCTCTATAACGTGAAAGTGTGAAACAACCTCACACTAGAGTCAACCAAATTTAAAAAGTCCATTGATTTGGGACGAAATCGAATAAAATGGGCTAAAAATGGATTAAATCTCACGCCATGCACAAAATTATTGTCTTTTTACCGCACAATTCACTATGCAAAACAAAGGGAATTTGGAGACGTAACAGAGTAGTGGACCCCAGAAATGTGAAGACTGTGAAGCAAGGAAAGATTTCGCACCACTGTAAAGTGTAAATATTCCGGATCGGATCCGCGATGAATCAGAGACAAAAATAAAGTCACGAAAAACGTCAATTTCAAAATTAATGCAAAATTGATTGATACACGACTCGACTGAAGTTATTTCTCAAAGATAAAATCATATATGGGCCCTAGGAAGTCCATATAATAAACATTCATTTCACAGCTAAAAATTAAATTACTCTGTATTACATTACGGTAAAGATATTTTTTTTGTTTTATGAATTTGTTTGTATGAGAAGATTAATGACGGACCGCAGCGTCGTCTACTCTATAATTACTCAAATTAGGGAGTATTTGATGGAATAAAAAGTAAAAATATATTTCGAGAAAATATTGAATATTTGAAAAATAAGTAAAAAAATAAAAAACAAGAGATGATCCATCGGAGCAGAACTGGAATTGTTATTCCCAATTCAAATTTCATAGTTTGAATTTTATGTACCAAACCGAGCCCGAAAGTAATTTATCCGTGAGTTTTCATCTATTTTATAAATTTTGACTCAAACTGAATGAGTTTATTCCTAAAATTATGAGCATGAAAATGAGCATTTTTTCAGTGTTAATGACATATGATGAGTCAATATTCTAGCTTTTTAATCATACTCCAGATATTTTACGAAATGTAATTAATTTGTTAAGAATTTCGCAAAAATAAAAAAAAACTCCCCTCCTTTATTAAAAAAAAGGCTTAAGCAGATAAATAAAAAAGAAGAAGATGAATTTGAAAAAACAAAATCGATGAGGAATTTAAAATCAAATTGAAGATCAAAAGAGCAGACGGTAAACAAATGAAAAAAAAAGCAACGAAAACCTTATCAGCAATCAATGAAGAACTGACCATTTCCTCCTCTGAAAATCAGGAGTTTCACTAATCACAATTCAAGCAAGCACCCCCGATATACTTCAGCACAAAAAAATAATGACATTTGAAAAGGAGCAAAAAAAAAACGATCCACGCCGATCATCACAGATCGGTGAATAAAATCAATCAATCAATCAATCGAAACCTCCACCATGATTCAACGAAGCAGATAACAGAAATACAAAAAGGAGATCGATAGAAGAAGACGGAAGAAGAAGAAATTAAAGCGGAAGATATGAAGTGATAAGAACTTGCCTGATCGGAGTGCTTTTTGTTTTGCCGATGCCGATCAGCTGGTTGATCGGATTAGGGTTCGCCGGCTCTGATCGCAGTTCGCTCTATGGAGTCTCTGTTTTCCAGTGCGTTACAGAGCAGAGGAGGAGGAGGATGAATGTCGATTGAATCGGAAGAGAGAGAGAGAGATTTGGAATTTTTTGAAAAAAGTTAAATTATTGTTAGTATTTAGTCGTCGTAGTCAGCAGTGGAGTCCCTCGCTGTTTTTTTCGCTCTATTGCGTTATTCTTTTCGTTGGTCCTTGCTGGAGAGGCGCGTGATTGGTTGGAAATGGGGCCCCACCATTTACCCACTAGCTTATTCTAATGAAAAGAAAAAATCTTTTTCTATCAAAGTATCATCTAAGTAATCTCGGGAAAGAAGGTAAATTAAGTTATAATGCACAAATATGTTGGAATGTGCCCATGCTTAACATAATTGACTTTCAAAAGTTACATAGAATAAAACCGACTTGACTATCGCGGATGAAAAGTGTGCATAAATTGGAAGCAATTCAGGTGACATTGAACTACAATCTCATCCTATGACCCAGGTTTCACTTGTGACTCTTACGATGCTCCATTCTAAAAGTTAGCAGTTCCAACTTGACTTAATAGTTCTGATAACCCCATCACCCCGGTATGATCCGAACCCACCCCCTTCATCAATTGCACCTACAAATTTAGTTGGTTTTGAAATCAAAATTTGACTCCAAAGTCAACTAAATCTGGTAGGTGCAATTGAAGGGATCGGTGCGGTTGGACTAGGGTTGTGAGATTTATCGGAGGATTGGGAGGAGGTAAGAACTGTCAATTTTTCGAACGGGACATGCACCGTAGGAAACCAAGCCGCTATAAATTTGCACACGTATGATATAATAATAATAATAATAATAATAATAATAATAATAATAATCATAATCATAATCATAATATGTAAACACGCGGAGTTTATAGATAATTATATCATGTGTGCATACAAGCTTAAAGAACACTTCTCGAGGCTCCCCCTGGGTTCCTCTGGGAAGCCCATTTTTATCTTGAATTTCTTCTACTATGAGGTACGCTCCTTACTAGCCCCGGGACGTGAACTCTTGTCTTCTTCCTCATCCTTCTCTTCCAACTATGCGTATCGTTCAGCCTGGATGATCACTTCTTTCATAAGACTCTGGGATTTGGCTACGAGATCAGTATGAATTTAAGAGTCCCCTCAACAACGTTGTTGTGAACATCACAAGGAGGGCCGTATCGTCAGCACCTTGGTCCCATCTTTTTTTACACTCCAAATTCTAATATATTTTGATTTTTTTTATTTTAGTCTTTTGTTCAATCTCTACCTTCATTCTCACATGATATTTAATAACTATAACAACAGTGATAATTCTATTATTTGTCACCAATTTACCTCTCTTTTCAGTGACGATCAAACCAAATTTAATGATATCTTCGAGGATGGGATTTATCTCTTTTTTTAAATTAATAAACACAAAAGATTAAGGAAATATTCAACCACTTTTTGGAAGGGGCTTGTGGTGGCCGCCACTACCGACCGATATAACCGTCCTTCAATTTGATACAGCCCAACTAAAGCCAAAAGCTATGGACCTACTACTAAAGGCAACATGACCCGTTTTTTCTTGTCGCATTTTACGGACGTGGCCGACCCGGCCCTTAAATTTCTCCACTCTCCACATTTGGACGGCGGGTCCATTATTTCGTTTATAATTGCTCTTCCTGGTCTGATTTAATTTACTTATATTTAAAAAAATTTGTGATCTTATTTAAATTGAATTGATTTTTAATAAAATAATTTTTTTAAGAATATGCTCTTACAGGGCAACTAATCACATGTTCAATTTAATTCAAAACTTGCTCGATATTATGGGATTAAGACTTTCGCAGTGTTTGGTTGAAAATATTTTTAATTCTTTTGTAATTAAAAGTTAGTGTAGAACTCAAAAATAAAATTTAAATATTCAAAAAATATATGGAAATTTTTACGAAACAAAACACTACAAAATTGTACTCGGTGTTATTTTATCCATTGAGTAGTACAATTAGCAAAGAAAGAAGTCAAAATTTAACTAAAAAAGAACTTTTTTTAGCACAAAAAAGAACTTTATTTAGAGACAATAGGAGTATTTTTTTTTGAAATGTAGTCATGTTAAAATTATAAGTTAACCCTCACATAAATAACTTGAAAACTAATTTTAGTCAATTTTTATTACTGTGGAGAGATAACTTCAACAAGAGATAGTTTATTTTTTTAATGCTCAAGACCTCAATATATGACACAATCAAGATAAGTGTTCTAAGATGTTAGACTAAACTCTAAAGAATCACTTATATTTATGTATCACTTAGATTCTCTCTCACCACGAATTCATTATTAAGTGATTGTGTATCTTTCTCTGTATTTTAAGTGATATATTATAAATTGGATATATAATCTTATTGTATGTTCATCATATATAAATACATTTATAAATCTTTGAAAGGATTAGAAGGAGTTAGAAAAACTTAGAAGTTAATTTTTCTAACCCAAAAAACAGAGTCTTAGTGTGTTTGAGTTTACTTGAGTATACCAAAAATGGTATTGAGAGTTTAATTTTGGAATGTCAAATACAAAAATTAATCTAAAATTACCAAATAGCTTAGGTGCTCTTTATGATTTGAAAAATGAGCATCTATGCTCACTTTGGGAAATAGTTCCAATGCTCATTTTCATTCTTGTTTGTTTTTTTATTACTTTTTTCTCTATTTGTTGCTTTAATCTATAAAGGTTTTTTTATTTCTTTTTGTAATTGTTTTTTATAATGTTCTCAAAATTCAAAATTATTTTTTTTGAAATAAAAATAAATGAAGTGAAAAATAATTAACATCTATTGCATCAGTATGTCTTGAAATTTAAAAAAATATTGTTTGGAATTGTTTTCTGAAAAAAGTAAAATCTTGTTTTGAAAACGTCATGAAATTAGAACAGCTATAGATTGATATCTGGTGTTTGCCCCTATGCTAAATCTCTTCACAGGTTGAAATCTTCTTGGGTTGATAAATGTAATAGGAATCACATTATTACTAATTACTTTTCTTATTACTACCATAATTGTTATTCTACAGTAAGTAATTATGATTATCTTTATATTTCCAAAAAAGGTGAAACGTTCACCCCGGGCCCTCCCACACTCTGACCCGACAGAATTGTGAGGGGGTAAATCATGACATATTTATACAAAACAATTCATCTTTATATTTCCAATATAAAGGGATGAATGTTTTGTTATTTAATAAGATCAATTACGAAGTATTATCAAATTTTATGTATCGGAGCTAAGATCCCCGAAAAGCAAGACTCCTTTTTTACCAAGCAACCATCGCCGGTTGGGGTGTGCAACAAGAACCGGTACAGACCGTTTTTTGGACCTAAACCAAACCGGAATGGACCGGTCCCGACCAGGTGGATTCAGGTCCGATCTCCGGGTTTAAGGATTCTGGGTTTTAGGTCCGATCGGATGAAAAAATGTTATAAGCCGAAATACTCTTTGGTCCTTTAGTGAAGCCCATTTCTTTTGGTAGTCAAATGCTCTAAATCCCTAATTAGTGAAATCATTCGCCTCCATTCCCTGGCCCAAAAATGTCACATTTTTTTCCAAAATGGAATTAGATGTAAGTCTTTCTTTTTTGTTTTGTTAAATTTTTACATTCTTTAAAATCAAGGATTTTAAAACTTCAAAACGGAGTATTTCGGTTTCACTTTTTAAGTGTTCATTTTGATTTTCCTAAAGTGGTGTGTAGCAACTAGCATTTCATTTCACTTCATGCATTTCAATTTTAAAATTTGAAATCTTGAATTTCAAATAACAATGGCATGTGCATGAATTTCAAATTAAACTTTATTATGAATGTGAAGAATTTGATCCAAATCCAAATTGAAATTTTTTAAATTTCTCAAACATGAAATTTGAGTCAAACCCGAATTTCATATTCAAATCCATGTACTCAAACATACCATAATTGTATTTCTTCATTTCAAGTTTGAATGAACAATTCGAATATCATGTTTTTAATTGAATGATGATGGCTTTCTCTATTCCACTGTATAATGAGACAAATCAAGAACCACAACTCACCAATCAAGAACGAAAATATACTTCCACTATAGCAAAAATTTATAAAAGAGCAAATTTTTTTCATTCAACTCCCATGCACAATCAATTCACAAATCGCCAATATCTTGTGCATTTTAATAAATATTTCCTCCTAATGAAGAGCACATTTCACAGATTTCAATGAAATTTTCAAACCAATGACGTTTTTCTATTCACATAAATGAACACAACATATTTTCAATAAATCAAGAATTGTTTTTAAACTTAAACAACTTCAAATTAATGAAAATAACAAAGAAGCCCATGAAAAGATACACAATCACTTAATAACAAATTCTAAGAAAAATAAATCATCTTATGGCCTTATGGTGTTAAGAAGTCCAAAATTCTTAAAATCAACAAACACAAACACAACAAAGAATCACATATGAATTCAGAGTTCATTTAACTACCTTATGGAGCTAAAATAGCTTCAACATAAATCAAATTCCACACCAACCTACTTATGAAATTGAATTATGTAATTCAACTAATTCAACAACTTGCTCAATAATTAAAAAAACTAGTTTAAATCAATTCTCATTCATAAGGAATTTAATATAAACATTAAAAAAACCCATAAAAGAACACCAACCATATTTAAAATTCTTCGAAATTAACACAAGCAAAAAAATGTAAAAATTGAACCAAAAACAAACTTTTACATAGAATTAGAGAAAAAAAATAAAAATTGACAAATAAGGGTTACTAATTAGAGGTAGGAGATGGAGAAATTGGAGCTTGAAAGAACCATCACTGGCCGGAGATAGTCGCCGCCAAACGCCACCATTGTCGTCCGCCATAGCAGCGGCTTGGCCGCTGCTTTATTCTCGTTCGATTCCCCTCTCTTTTGAGCTGCAATTCATCTTCAATGTATAACAAGGAGAACCACTAGCCATTGAATTTCTACCTGTTGAAATATTGGAATATTAATATTGCTCATTGAATTATGGAGTACATGATAGTGTATATATAGGAGAGACTCCTAACACAACTAGGAATAGAGAATGGAAACTAACTAACATACAAAATCTATCACAAATAGGATTAGGAAGCTGACTAATAATGAAACACTACCATAACCAATACTACAAGAAGTACTATTAATATTGTTGTCTAACATCCCCCTCCAAGCTGAACTCTAGCTGAAGTAAGAGGAAGCTTGGACACTAGCTGGAAACAGGAAACTTTGAGAAGAGAGAAGTCTAACATACACCGGTGGCTGCTCACATCGTTGGAGAAGAGAGAAGTGTGACGCGCGCCGGTGGCTGCTGACGTCGTTGGAGAAGAGAGAAATCTGACGTGCGCCGGTGGCTGCTGACGTCGTTGGAGAAGAGAGAAGCCTGATGTACGTGCACTGGTAGCTGCTAACGTCGTTGGAGAAGAGAGAAATTGACGTGCGCTAGTAGCTGCTGATGTCGATGAAGATGAGAGAAGGTTGACGTGCGCTTGTAGCTGCTGACGTCGAAAAAGAATAGAGAAAACTATTGGAGGTGTCTGTTTGACTGAAGATCCTTGACATTTTTTGTCTTTTTCTTGGATCCGGGCAATGCCCTATTTCCTTCTTGAAGGGGTGAGTTGTAGAGGTCTTATTTCCTCTTTCACTACAAGGGGAGAACCGAAACGAAAACACGACTAAATGAAACCTAAAAAATTACTAAGTTGTGTTCTCTTTCTCTTCCCTCCAACTACTAACGAATAAGTGATTTTAGAGAGAAAAAGTAGGTTAAGAATTGGTGATGGAAAAAAAATTTGGGTTTGAGATTTTGATGTGGTGAATTGGAGAGAAACAACAATCATTTTTTTTTCCTTTTTTTTGAGAAGATAGGATGATCTGAGATAGTTTGTGAAGAGTTGGGTTTTTTTTGAAGAACCATGGAGATGGCAAGAGAGAAGCTCCTCCTTTGACGGATTTTTTTGTGATTTCAACACAGGAATTTTTTTTCTTTTTTTTTAAATGGAGAAGTTAATTTGAGAATAAAAGAAGGGGAAAAAAAAGATGTGAATAAGGTGGAGCCGCCGTCGCCGGAAATACCGGCGGCGGCGGCGGGACGTGGGAGCAAAGATCTTTTTTTTAGGTCACCAAGAGCGGTGGCTCCGATACCATGTTGAAATATTGGAATATTAATATTGCTCATTGAATTATGGAGTACATGATAGTGTATATATATGAGAGACTCCTAACACAACTAGGAATAGAGAATGGAAACTAACTAACATACAACATCTACCACAAATAGGATTAGGAAGCTGACTAATAATGAAACACTACCATAACCAATACTACAAGAAGTACTATTAATATTATTGTCTAACACTATCCATTGGAAAATTGATTGTCGCCAACGTTGGAGAGTTACACTGATTTTTTCCCTTGACGAAGAAGAAAGCCGCTGCATTTCTTTTTTTTTTCTTTTCTTGCGTAAAGATAAAGTGGAGGGAGGAGAGGAGAGTTGGGCTTGCTTGTTATTGTTGGGTTTGGGGTACGGCCCAAAATAAATCTCTTCTTTTCAAACTTGAACTCTGTTTTGGCCTTTTGCTATACTTTTCTCCAAAAAAAAGATATCTGATAATTTCGGTTAGGATAAATACAAATAAAGAAAATAATAAAATGTAAAAGAAATGATTAAAAAACTAATATTTGTCAAGAAATTTAAAAGATTGTAAAAATTAAAATTAAAATAAAACTAAGCAAAACAGCTAAAAATTAAACTCTAAAAATATTAAAAATGCCTAAAAAAAATAAAAAGAACTAACTCAAAACCGACTTATCAAATCCCCCACACTTAAGACTTGAACGTGCTCGTTCAAAAGGCCAAATAGAAACAAATTAATTTCTATCATCATCAAAAAGAACAAAATGACATTACACCCCCACACTCAAAACTTTATGCCCATAGCATTTTTTTTAAAAAAAAGTGAGCTACAAATCCTATAAAGATGGAGATCTGTTGAAGGAATTTGTAAATTAGTGTGTTGTTGTGTAGATAGAATTTACTTTATATTGTGTAATAAGTTGTACTGGCCCGTGGGCCTTCTCTTGTAAAACCCTACGAAGCTCTTCCCTATATAAGGGAGCTATTATCAATAGAGAGATACACATCTCCCACAACACGTTATCAGCACTTGCTCAACCCTAATTTTTTTTTCCGTCCGCCACCCTCTCTCCTGTTCTTTTTTCCTCCGTTCTCCTCTACCATTCCCCATCGCAGCATCAAATTAGAAGGAGAAGCATCCTTCCCAATCACCAGGCGCACGATCACAAACAGATCGCAGCACCAAAGGACGAGGCGCTGTCGTCGAACATCGCGGATCAAATCTGAAGGAGAAGCCTCCTTCCCGATCGTGAGACGCAGCGACCGTGAGGGCCAAATCAGAAGAACCAGCACCAGAAATCTCCGTCAATCGGAGCTTTCTTCCCGTCTCCCCGAAATCTCAGTCGATCGCACAGCAAGGGCGGCCTTATTACCGTCGTCCGTCGCACGACCACAACTAGCAGCCTCCTTACCCGAAATCTCGCACATACGGTCCAGGTTTTTCCCAAATTTAATTATTGCAATTGAATTAAGATGCGTATGTGCACTCTTGAATTTGCTGTTTTTTTGTGATCTCTATGTGATATATATATGATGATTTTTTTTTATCGATTGTTTCTCATATATACTGACCTTGATTTTGAAAAAAAATGGTTTCTTTTCTGGTAGTTGTTAATCGTTGGTTTTATATTCATGTTTATTGTGTCTGTGATTTGTGGTTTTCCCCAATTCTGCTATTGATTTGTTGAAATGAAATGCCATGTTCAGATGCTTAAAAATTAAAAGCACCATTTTAAATTGTAATATTTGGGAGTCCCCATGGGCAGATCATCAAAGAAATTATGCTTAAAAATTAAAAGCACCATCTTGATTTGTTGACCATTTTTTTGGGATATTATGTGCATTGGAACTTGCATTTTTTTTCTGGAAAATATGTAATAAATCTTTACATTAAATCAGTTTCCTTTTTATTTAATTTATTTTAATACATTTGGTATGTTTATTGTGGGTAATACATTCCAATGTTTTACTGTAATGGTGTAGTTCATTTTTCAACTCACAAATAATTTACTCCATTGTTGAACCTTCTTATAGACAAATTATTTTTTTTATGAAAAACTACACTACAGCTTTTGTCACACAAAAAAGGCAAAACACTGTCAAGGGAATGTCTTCAAGTGAAGACACCAAACAAATTCCAAATTGAGTTTTATGACTCTAGTTTATGTGACTTTATATGTGATAATCATATTATGATAGTCATGTTTAGTTCACGGCTAATGACTTCACCAAAAAAAAAAAATTAAAGGGGATTTGGCACAAATTGAAAACATACACTGTTTTTATGTGTTTACCCGAAGAACATATATGAATTTGCCATAATTGAATTACATATCTAGTATTTCTGTGCATAAAATATTTTACCCTTAAACAAAATATATACAACAAAACAAAAGGGAGAGAGCATGAATTATATGATAAAAACTCTCATTTCAAGATATCAATTTACCTATGATTGTTTATTTGCATTTTATCTAGAAATGACTGATTCCACTAGACCTGAATTTGACATCTTGGACTCAGAAGGACTTGAGTACCACCATTGGGTTTCTGATGTAGAAATGGCTTTCGTGGCTAAAGACTTCTCTGGAACACTTAAAGACCCCAGTGAATTGGAAGATGCACCATCTGAAAAAGTGAAAGCAAATGTTTTAATGTTCCTAAGGCGACACATTGACCCAAGTTTATGTTGGGAATATCTTCAGTTGAAAACCCCGAAGAACAGTGGGGTGCCCTTAAGGGACGCTTTGGGAATATTCATGATACTCTGCTCGCAGAACTAAATGTACAATGGAATGAAATCCGTTTGCTAGACTTTCTTCATTCTCTCCATACATGATGTTTTTGGAATAATTTCTTTTATGTTTCTGCCAATTTCCTAGGAGTGTTTCGAAGACTATGTGGAACTGTTTTAAATTTGCATTCAATTTAAATAAATTAAGGGATTTATGTCCCTATTTTTATATGCATTGTGTGTTTCAGTTCTATATGCAATTCTCTCATTACACAGGCATGAATCGAGGTGAACTTGAGTGCTTAATAGATAGTGGGACTACCCATACCATTTTGCGAAATAGGCAAATATTTGTTAACTTGCTAGCCTATAATTCATCTGTGACAACAATGATTGGTTCCTCACATGTAATTCAAGGACGTGGTACTGCCATTTTCTTACTCCCTAATGGTACATTGATTAAAGCCATAAATGCTCTATATGCACCTAGAGCTACTCGAACGTTGTTAAGTTTCAAAGACATCCGTGACAATGGCTTTCATGTTGAAACTCATTGTGAGAATGGTTTTGAATACCTTTACATTACTTCTAATGAATGCGGAAGAAAGCGCATCTTAGAGAAGTTTAAGGGTAAGAGTAGTGGACTGTATATTACTACAATTCGAATAATTGAATCTTATTCTATAAGTCATGATGACATAAGGGATACTGAACGATATATACTTTGAAGAGCGGTCGGCCCAATCTTGCCCAACTGCGACAAATGCCTTCTAAAGAAATTGAAGCATCATCCTCGTCTCAAAATAATTTTTTGACAAAGTCACATGTCCACAAATCCTTTTGTAAAGCCTGCTCATTAGCAAAAACAGGATCACGACCATCCTATGCTAAAGATTCAAAAGAAAATATATCATTCCTACAACGGATACAAGGAGATATATGTGGGCCAATACAACCAGAAAGCGGACCATTTCGGTATTTTATGGTACTGGTTGATGCCTCGACACGTTGGTCACACGTTACATTATTATCAACAAGAAATGCTGCATTTGCAAAACTCTTGGCACAAATAATTCGTTTAAGGGCTCACCACCCTGACCACCCGATCAAGTCTATAAGACTTGACAATGCTGCAGAGTTTACATCTAAGAACTTTGATGATTATTG